GACACCAAATGCCCCATGACTGCTTTCTTTTCTGAGATCATGTGCATTGCTGTGGCTTCCTTAGCCTGTGGTCTTCCACCACCAAATAATATTAAAGTTGTGGTGAGAGGCCAGGCTGGGTGTTTCCTTCAATCTGAGGGTAAGGAGCATGGATGGCACGTACTGTATGTATATCCATACACACAGCAAACAAACTGTATATTTTATTTAAACGTGGGCACATTTAAAAGAGTTGTGATTTTATGATTTCTTTAAATTGAAGAATTACAAAAGCCCCACTGCACTGCAAACAAAGCTAGTTTAAAACTATTTAGACATCTTCACTGAAGAAAGACGGCAGTGGCCTTTTCCTCTCTATCTCCCACATGATATTATTGCTCATTTTCCTAGTCAGCAAGACTTGACTGGTTAGCTGGCTGGCTGCCTCTCTGATTATGTCATTCTTCTTTGATTTATGGCATCATCATTTCTACAGAGGCAAATTAAGCCACAGTAAACCATCACTGATTTCTTGTGTGTACTTAATCATATGCCAACAATATCTTATATTTCTAGCCTGCACACAATATCCTAAGTCACTCTGGAGCTACTCTTGTAATTGTGTTGACAAGTAAATAAGCTAACAAAATAAAATAAAATGTCATAAAAATAGATCATAGCTGCAGTGAGTTGAAAAGCAACATCTTTCACAACAAATGGTAAGGCAAAGACAGGTTAAGGTTATTCTATCCCAAAGGCTGGAATGTAAAACCAAGTCTTCATTTTGTAAGGTAAAGACAAAGGTTTCCCTGTCAGTTGTGTCCAATTCTAGGGCATGGTGCCCATCTTGGCTGAGGGAGCCAGTGTTGCTCAAAGACAATTGCCATGGTCATACAGCCAGCATGGCTATATGCCAAAGGTGCAAGGAACGCTGTTACCTTCCTACCAAAGTGGTACCTATTAATCTACTTGCATTTGAATGCTTTCAAACTGCTGAGTGTGCAGAACCCCAAAGCAAAAAAATGTTAGCTGCAGTCTGTCATGCAGAGAAATGCATTTGAAAGTGGAGGTCCACAACAACAAAGAAAACCTCCCACAACCTCACATCATGTTTTTCTATCAGCCAAAGGATGTTAATGAGCCCCCACTACCCCCCGCTGATCGTAATGTGCAATTTATTTATTTATTTATTTATGAGACTTATATACCGCTTTAAGTGCAAGCACTCTCTAAGCGGTGCACACCAGTAAGCAATGTATATATATATTTACATTGCCCCCAACAATCTGGGTCCTCATTTTACCTACCCCGGAAGGATGGAAGGCTGAGTCAACCTTGAGCCGGTGAGATTTGAACCGCTGACCTGCTGAACACAGTCAGTTAAAGTGGCCTGCAGTACTGCACTCTAACTGCTGCGCCAATTAGTTACCAAGAGAGGTATTCTATCAATAGAAAAACCTCTTTAGCTGTTGACTTCATTTTCTAAACGTTGAAGTCCAACCTAGTAGCCAGAGCAGATCCTTTAGGATGGGTGTTACATGATCTCCAAGAAATAATCCAACAGGCCGTGCTTCTGCCAGATGCTCCAGTTTCCACATTCTCTTCAAGGGCAGATCCACATAAAGCGGGTTCCAGAAGTCTAACTGGGAAGTTACTGGACTATAGATTACTGTGGCCAACTTCCTTGTTCAGGAAAGATTGAAGCTGAGGGGCCACCCTCAGCTGACCAAAGGCATTCCTTAGTTTACTTAGGGCAGTCAAGCTTGGAGTTATTAGACTCTGGAGGTAGATATGTGTGCCTGATTTTATTTATTCTGGACAGCAAGAAATTCAAAGGATCAAGCCCACACAAGGTTCTCCTTCCGTATTAGAATGACTTGGAGCAGGGATGGATATGTAAAAACTATGGGCCAAAGTTGTCTTCCCACAATACTCATTGCAACTTCATTTAAACATTTTTCTCCTCTAGACTATTTTATGCTTGCTGCCTCCCTGTACACCAAAATATGCTGGTGCCTCCAGGATACTTACTCTCCCTCCCCCACCTAATGCAAACAATGAACTCACAGCCTGGAGTCTGTTTATGGAGGGAAAATAGAGTGTCCTGCACTTAAAGCCCTGATATGAGGGTCTTACAAGGGACATGGTTGGGGGGAGAGGTCTCACACAGTTCCATTCTTGGCTCCAGTACAGGAAGACTTGGTGGGAAATTAATGATTAATGGAATCATAGGGAGGCTAGATCAAGCCTCTATCCGAGGGCCAAGATCATTGCACAGTCTTGGATGGCAAGGGCCAAGCCTTGTGCTTGATAACAATTTTCAGTGTTTAACACTGAAATTATCCACTGAGTATGGAAACCTCTATTTCTTCTTCATCTGAGATAAGGGCAATTCTCATATACCTCGTGAGCATGGGGATACCAGGATGGGAAAGCAAAATTCATTGAATTTCTGCCCAATGTGCTGATGTAATAGATGTGTGTTCTTAGGTCAGAGAGCTTTTCATTCTGAATCTACTACCAGATGTAAGTCTCTCCCTCCCCCAGGGCAACCATCACTCATGCACAATGCTTTGATTATATAGGAAGGGGGGGTAATGAAATCCATAAGCCCGACTCTTGCTTGACTCCTCCTAATTTAGCCAAACTCTGCTAAGAAAACAGAATTTAAGGGGCCCATTGTAAAAGATAGGAGTGCTGGATTCCCCCCCCCCAATAATCTATAATTTGAGCACTGTTCCATGCAAAAGGATCTGACCAGAGGTTGTTTCCTGTCACTCTGGGCCAAATATCTTGTCCCAAGATAAAAGTCATATTCATGTCCCTTAGCAATTTCCAGCTGGAAGTTGCAGCATGTGTTGTGTGTTGCATAGATCTGGCTTGCATGTCTTGTTCCTTTCTTCCCCCTCCTGCTATTCAGAAATGGGACCATTTTTTTTTCCTGATGGTAGTTTGCTTTCCTCACACTGATGGCTTTTGCAGAGAGAAAAGCCAGCCAGCACCAGACACTAGCTCAGCATAGGGATGAATAAAACAACAGGAAAGGGGAGGCAAAGATAGTCTCTGCAGAGAAGAAGAACAGAAAAGTTTATTTGTTGTCTGTGGGTCTCAAGGGTCTTTGGGGGAAGACTGTACTGTATTACAGTACCTTGTAGGTAAATAGCCCTGCAGCTGCACATCACACAGGTATGTACTATAGCATACATACTATTTTCCTTACCCACATCTGCCTCAACTCATACTTCTTGTTCACATCTGTGCAACATTGATACCCTTTATGCATGAACTGAATGTTCCAAACACTCTGTTCAGGTATGCGATATGAACATACATAGATGAGAGGGGCAGCACAGACATATGTTTCATTCCTCACTTGCACACACACACATATATATATAAGCAGTAAAGTCTCCTTCAAGCTGAGCTCAACTCCTGGTGACTTCCTGGCCACAGCAACACAGATTTTTGGCGATCACATGGGGATACTTTCTTGGTGCCTTCTTCCAAGATTTTGTTTTAAATTCTAGTCTAGTCTATAGCCCTGAAATTTCCTGGTGGTTTCCCATCCAAATACTAATCTGGTGCAATTAGAATTTGTTGAGATTAGCCAAGGTTGGCTAGATGCTGCCACCTTACTGGATGTAACATCTGAAACTAGACAACTCTTCCTGGTCAACTGCCATTTTGGAAAATATAATGAATTCCATTGTTTCCAGTTGGAACTTTCTAGAAACCCCACCCAGCATTTCTAGCTCTTGAAGATGGGAAGTACTATAGTCCAGGTACATCTACAGATTCGGAAAAGCTGGGGAAAGTCCTGCTGCCCTGACGTATCACACCCATCTCCCATCTCCAGTTCTACTGAGGCATAAGAAAGTAGCATTGAGAGTGGCTTTCTGGAGCTACTGTAGTCAGAACAGGAATTGTTATGCACATGGACTAGATGTCCTTTTAGAAGCTTGAAGAAAATACACTTCTTCCTTCTAGGATAGGGTGGTGGTGGTGGTGATGGGATCTAAGGTTTCCAGGACTGTCCTGGGAACAGCTACAATGAATTCAGCCTTACTTGATATCTCACTCTGACATGTTCTGTTCTCCATATAAAGAGAATGGGGAATTCAGTTTCAAGGCCTTCTAAGGGAGATTTAATTTTGTTATCTCTTTTCTTTTTTCTTTTTGCTCAGCCCTGTCTGGAAGCCCTCAGGCATTTTGAGCCTTCTAGGCAAAAACCTCCTATATACAGGAAACTTAGAGGCTGGGGCGTAGTGCCATTAAGCCCAGATGGACTGAGACACTTTTTGTAAAATCAGGCCTCTCCAATAGTTGCAGGCTCCACGTTTCATTGCAATCCTGTTTGGGACAATGGAAAAAAATCCCAGCGTGGGATGGCTGGACTGTAGTCAAGGGGAGCAGGTGAGACTGACCAGGGAAGAGCAGCAAGATTGCAGGACTATGGAAACGAGTCAGAGAATACCACCCCACTTCTCAGAAACAAAGGCTCCCCTGTCTCCAATGTGTTTCTTTCTCACACACAGTCATGCACACATCTCTTTGGGGGCTAGCCAGACAGGCTGCTTGCTGGAAACTCTCCTGGCTAGTGACGTGGGAGAACCGGAGGGGCAGCAGACACCAAGACCCATGAATCGGACCAGAGCTGAGATCATTTCCCCAGCCTTGGGGGGGGGGATGTGGCATGTTGAGGCACAGGGTCCCCGCATGGTGGGTACATGGCCTCTTGCCCTGTGGCAGGGACTTCACTCAGTAGCAGTGTTGTGCTGACTCCCTTGGGCTGGTCGGGCTTCATGCACACCCCCTCTCGTTTTTCCCATTCCTGCACACTCCCCCCCCCTCGTTCCCGTCCTGACTGTAACGAGAAGCAGATGTGAGCAAGCAGCCCAAACCCAGCACAGGAGGGAGGGGGTGGCCAAGCAGGAACTGAGACTGCAGAAAATCCCCATTTCGAACGAGGCTGGCTGGTGGAAGGGATGTTCAGAGGGCCAAGGCCAACCCAGGGGTGAGGGAGCCAGCGGTTGGGCAGGGAGCAGGGAAGCCCAGGATAGGGAAAGCTGGGGGGGGGGAAGAGGGCGCTGGGGCTCATAGCTGCCAGGCAGGAAGTTGGGGGGAGTGAGCAAGCCAGCTCTGGGAAGTTTGCAAAGCTGTCAGTGTGTGAGGAGTGAGCGGCTGCACAGAGCCCTCTCGGCCCGTGTCGTGCCTGCAGGCTGAGTGTCAGGGAGAAGGCCAGAAAGAAAGGAGGACTCCTGCTCTGCCAGCATCACTTGGCCCTGCTGTCAAGGCCTAAGGGCCCAGGCCATGTGCAGCTGACCCGAGGACCCAGGGAGAGGATCACCAAGAACTGGGAATGGCCGGACCTGGGGCCATCGCATGGCTCTGTATTTGGTGGGGCCTCCTGGCCAGAGAGGTCTGGGGCATGAACTATCCTCCCAGGTACAATCTATACACAGGAAGCAACTTGCCTTTCACACAGCTCCAAGGGACAGCACAAGCAACCAATGGGGCCCGAGTGGCCAGCCGCCACAGGTAAGACAGCTGACTATACAGATTATGGGGGATGCAGGGCTGGAGCAAAATCAAGCTGTCTGGAATAAGGGTCCTCCAGAAAGAAATGGAAAGGCAAAAAAGAAGGAAGTCAGACTTCCACAGGCATAATGCACTTATGCGTCTGCAAAACTGGTTACTGCCTTGTGCTTCCCACCAGCCTGAGGGGAGGGCACTGGAAAAGACAGCTTTTATGTTCTATGAGGTTTAAAGGATACGGAGAAGACCCAGGAGCTGGTTGGAAGAGGATGGAGGGTTGAAAAAAGGCCCCATCAGAGAAGGGCCTTATTTGCTTAAATATTGCATATTTATATATGGCTGGCTATCCATCTCATGAGTGGCAAATCTTCATTGCATGACATTGCAGGTTTAAAAGTACCCATTGCTTATCCCTCCGTGTGGGTTTGGAAAAAAAAATAGGATTCACACCATGTCAGTTTTAAATTTTAAATCTGAATAGCGGCAAGCCATGAATAGTCTCATCAATCTATTGCTTTTTATTGTAATGGACTTTATGTTATATTATATTATATGTTTGTTATGGATGATTATACACTGGCTTGAAATCCCAAGAAAGATGCCTGACAATGAACATGGAAAAGAGGTGGTGACAATGGTGTTTCCATAGCAACACACTTCAATTCCTGTCCATGTGCTTATCTTTCCCAACAGAAGGTAGATAGAGGCTCTGGATGCAAATTAAGGGCTGAGGACTATCCCATGCCCAACATGATCCTAAACGATTGGTCTAGCTACCCACCCCATCAGCTTCCTCTTTTGTTTGAGGCAGTGGTCTTTCCCCACAAATCTGGGGTGAGCATGGAGGCTTGCAATGGAAAGTCCTGCTTGCTAGATGTATCGTAAGCTGTTAATATTTGTGAGAATAAGACTTGGGGATGGGTTGTCTTTATGAGAGAAAGGGTTGTGCATCAAGATGACCACAAAATATTTGTGGGATATTGAGGAATTGAGTTAAATGCTGAACAATCAAATAATGGAAACAAGAGACAAGGTGGGAGTGGGGTGGGAGAAGGAAGTTTGCTGCTTTATCCAGTACTTCAGATTCTTTCTTAGCTAGCGTGGGGTAGGGGGGGAGGGGGGAAGGAAAAGCAAAAACAGTTGTGGTTTGAATGGATACTGCTTTTTGAAGGGGGAATTAGATTCCAGGGTAAATTTGCAGCTAGTTTGGTAAATAGGAGCAGCATTGTACAGAGGCAGAAAGAAAGGGGCTCCAGAAAATAGTAACAAGAAATGGATCTTGGCAAGAGTTGTAGCTTAGGGGAGAAAAGCAAAGTAATACAAGACTTGTTCATTCATACAACCACCCTTCACTTCCTCCTCCCATCTTAACTACTCCATAACCTGCCCAGAATACGATAAGTTTCTGCCCAAGATTTTTCCTAGTTAGGCCTCTTCTCATGGGCTGGTTTTGGAGATATGGAGAATATTTATTTGTTGTTAGATTTATAGGCAGTCCTTCAGCCACACCTCTATTGTAGTTTATAACAACCAAGACTAAAATCATCCATTATGGAAATGTACTGAATCAGTGCACAAACATTACACAAAAATAGCAGCCAGACAGAAACAACATATTATCTCAGATCTCCAAAGGCTGTCAAAACCAATGAGTTTTGCCATCTGCTGGAAATTCCCAACAGAGTGGGGCCTTCTGGAGGCTCTCAGTGGAGGCAGAAATGTTGAGTGCCAAATAATGGGAAAAGGCTTATACTGGTCTGATTTGAACTGCCCCTATTCAAAATCTTCTCATAGTAATTATAATGCAGGAAAGGTTCTCAACACATGCTTAGAGGATCAATCTATTATCATTTCATATGAATTCCTTTCTCATGTTGACCCTGGCATGCAGGAAATGCCCTAAATTTCCTCTGTGAGGATGGGAAATATGATAAGGTGAACTGGGCAAACATTAACCAGTAGGAAAGTAACTTGTTAGTTCAGACTAATCTCTTCCAATAATGGAAAGAGGCATCCCTGCCCGGCCTTGACCTGGCTGTTTTTTAGCAGAATCTCTCTGCTAAGATCAAACTCCTCCTTCATTAAAGGCCCTTAGGCAGTGATGGCGAACCTTTTAGAGACCGAGTGCTCAAACTGCAACTCAAAACCCACTTATGCCTCGTCAGGTGCTGGGTGGGTGTGGCCCATTGGGTGGGCGTGGCTGCGGTGATAATAGCAGACTGGGTGGGATTAAAAAGTTCAATCAATCAATTCCAACTTTGCAAGATCTTTTTTGAGAAGTTGAAATTGATTGATTGATTGAACTTTTTTTTCTGTACATGGCAGAGGCCAAAAGCGAAAAGGTTTTATAAAACCCAGCGACGGCATGCGTGCCCAGAGAGAGGGCTCTGAGTGCCGCCTCTGGCACCCGTTCGCCACCACTGCCCTTAGGCCTTAAGGATCCCTCTGAGCAAAGGTGAAAAGCATTCTTGAGGCAATTCACCTGGATCCAATATGTAGTGCAACTGGGGTCTTGGTGACAAGGAAAGTAAGTAAGCAGGGAAATAGGACTCCTTCATTAAGTGCATTGCCAAGAGACAAAAGAAGAGGGAATTGCTGTGGTGCCATTTCCTCTGTTACTCAAGATTTTGAGGGGTTCACTATACTACAGGAGGAGGAGATGACACGTTTTCTCTCACTAGGGCAGTGGGATTCCACAGATCATGAGCAACTTACTTAGTCTGTTGATCGAAGAGGATATTAAAGGCATTGTTCTACTCAAACCACCTAGTCAGTACAGGATCCCTTAGAACCTCTCTGACTATCCGCCCTCTGCCAGAGAACTCATTATTTTGTGTGGCAGCCTGTTCTACTGGCTGATAGTACATATAGTTGGGAAGTTCCTCCTGACATAAAGCCTGAACTCCTTCCTTGTTATTTTAACCCATTGGTTCTGGTCCTGCCCTCTGGGGCAATGGAAAATAAATTCATTCCTTTTTCTTGTGACAGCAGTTCAGATAATTGAAGACTTCCGTCATTTCTCCCTTTAGTCTTTTGCTTTTTTCTGTCCAGATTCTTTTGCTGCTCATCATCGGGCTGAATGTCTATAAAGATTCTTAATCATCAAGGTCATGGTTCTCCCAAAGGTGCTTTTTCACAAGGCAACTGGACTTTGTTTTTCCTAGATGTTTCACTTCTCATCCAAGAAGCTTCTTTATTTCTGACTGAATGGTGGAGGGTGGAAGGAGTTATATTCCTTGCAGTCATCTGGTTGTTAGCTCTCTTTCTGAGAGTCATTGAGGCCACTTGGACTCAACTGTGCTTTCAAGGCCACCTGACTAGTTCAAATGGGTCCTTCACCATTCAGCCAGAACTGAAGAATCTTCTTGGATGAAAAGCCAAATGTCTTCAAGGAAAAACAGAAGTCTAGTTGCCTTGTGAAAAAGCACCTTTTTTCATCATAGGGCAGGATTGCAGACTTTTATGGTTCCCAGTAGCCTTCCTCTGAGCTTACTCCAATTTGTAATTATCTTTTTGAACTATAGTACCCCCCCCCTTTCCAAATGGAGTCTGTGGAAAGGAACAATTACTTCCTATGATTTGAGTTTTATACTCATTAATGTAATGCAACGGCTCCCAATCTTTTCTATACTCCGCACCCCTAGAATGCTTCTGATATATTCTCCCTTACAAAAGTTCAAAATAACAGCAACAAATTATGCATATACACCAGGGGTGTCAAACTCAATTTCATTGAGGGCCGCATCAGCATTGTGGTTGCCCTCAGGGGGCCGGGTAGATGTGGCCAGGGTGGGTGCGGCCTACTGGGTGGGTATGGATGGAGTGGGTGTGGCTTACTGCGTGGGTGTGGCCAGCTCTACATTGTTCGCGTCAAGGGTGCCTGTGGGGGCCTGGGCAGGAGTGGGACAGATCTGAGGGTCTCTGGCAGAAGGGGGTGGGACCAGGGCAAGTGCCAAGGCATGGTCCACTGGAAGAGCCTCGCTGTTCCTTTCAGGCCATGCAGCGGGGGGAGGGCTTATGGAGCTAAGACTGAATGCGTTTCAGCATAGATGGCCACCACAAAATTGTACATTGGCTCCCAGTTGGCCTGGGCCAGGGCCAAGGCAGTGGGGGCCGTTCCCTCACTGTTTCCAGGATGGCTTCGCGGGCCACATGAAACCACTTTGTGGGCCGCATCCGGCTCCTGGGCCTTGTGTTTGACATGTCTGATATACACTATAATTTTGAAAACCCAAGATTTCACACCCGCTGGAATATTGTCTTGCACCCCCGATTGGGAACCCCTGATGTAATGCAAGATAGCATGTGCCTTTTTAGCAGCTGCATCACATTGCTGGCTCAGCGTGGTCAACAGCAACAGACTCTTTTCAGATGTTCTATTGAAGAGCCAAGTCTCCCCCCTCTTGTGTTGTCTTTGTATAGCCATGCCCCACTTCTGTAGCACAGCACGAAGCTTCTCCACTCAGTACCTTTTTTGGTCTTTATCAACAATAACAACAATGAAGAAGAGTTTCTTAGTTTAGATTAACATCGAAGTGTGCCTAGGCACATCTGCCTCTGGCTTTTACTTGAATCCCATGCTTTGTTTGGGGATTTAATTTATTTAAAACAAGCATTAAAATTTAAGGCCTCTCTCAAATCCTCATCCTCTCTAGAAGTTGAATCTTGCGCCAAATATGTCAGAGCAATGTTGCTCTTTATCTTTAGCAATGTGGAGTAGGCAGAAGTTAGAAACATGCTGCTCAGAGAATCTTGCTGAAAATGAAGCCGTTTAAGTCCTGGCCTCAGCCCTGAATTAGAGCATCTCTGTCTGGCATGTGGGAATATGGAAGTGGGGTAAGATTTTGGGCTTTGCTACTATTTGCTGTACATGGGCCGGAATAGAACAAAATAATTCAGTTGTGGATCAACCCAACCCTCCTTTCTTGCACCATTGCAGGAACTGGTGTGCTTATGTGGTATCACGGAGTGTGAGCTGTGTGGTGGAAGATGGAGTCGACACGTATGTGAAACCAGATTATCAGCCATGTGTTTGGGGACAACTCCAGTGTCCTCGTGTTGTCACGTGAGTGAGGGGCGAGCAGGGAAAAGGGAACACCTGTGTAAGTCACTGTAGATCCCTTACTATTCCGAGTCATTGCAGAGCATGTAGAATTGGGTTTGGACTGAAAACAGCAGCAGGGCAATGGAAAGCATTTGTCCCCTTCTCATTCGCAGTGATCCCAGCCTCACTGGCAAGCTGGCCTGCTACCTGGGTAGAGTAAGAGGTCATGACTTCTCTGGGCAAATGGGGAAGAGAGGCTGGATGCCTGTGGCTGTTGCCTGGCGTGTGCCCAGTCCATCAGGGAAATGCACTGATCCCAGCGCCAATAAAAGTTAATGGGCCATGCACATGGAAGTGAACTGCTGCCTCCTAGTGGTGATCTTTTGGATTGCAAACAAATTAAAAACTTCTTTAAGTCAGATTTGACTTTTGGTGACTATTTGACTGTATGTATTTGACTATATGCAAATACATCCATGTACTGTAATTTTAGCAACAACACAGAAGTGGATTGCCATTATCATCTTCTGGGATTTTTTTTTTTTTTTACTTCCCCGTGCAGACTACATCTTAAGGATTTCTGGTGGTCTCCTACTTAAGCATTAACCAGGTTTGACTCTGTTTAGTTTTTTTAGGTCAGTCATTGTCAAGCTTATCAGTCCAGAAGAGAGACCAATGCTTGTTCAAAGTAGATGAGCTTTTATCTTTTTCTGAGGAATACATGCAGGGAGCTCTGACTATCCATAGGTGAAAAGAACGCTATAGAGAATCACCTCACCCTAAGAAGAAAAATATCTAATGCTAGCAGTTTGCTTCCCAGCTGCCTGCTAAGAATGTTATTACTTCTCCAAGCAAATAGTTAACCCACAAAATGACCCCTGCCCCATTTCTTACTCCAAGCACAAATCCTCTTGGCTCTTCCTTCCACCTGACAGATATCGAAGTTTTGTGCGCCCACGCTATAAGGTGGCCTATAAGATGGTCTCAGACTTGGAGTGGCGCTGCTGCCCTGGCTATTCAGGCAATGACTGTGCCGAAAGCGGGACGCTACTTGCTACCAGCCGACCACGACCCCAGCCTGGTCAACCCAACCTATCCGGCTTTGGCAACCCACTCAGTGGTGGAGAAGGTAAATTCAAAAGGCGTAAATAAAGTTTCCAGTTTGCTGTAATGGTATAATTGCTATCTTTTAAAAAAATCTACATGTGGTTTTCCTAGCCCAGTGATGGCGAACCTTTTAAAGACCGAGTGCCCAAACTGCAACCCCAAACCCACTTATGCATCGTTGGGTGCCGGGTGGGTGTGGCCCATTGGATGGGTATGGCCAATTGGGTGGGTGTGGCCCATTGGACGGATATGGCCAATTGGGTGGGTGTGGCCCATTGGGTGGGCGTAGCTGTGGTGGTAACGGCAGACTGGGTGGGACTAAAACGTTCAATCAATCAATTCCAACTTTGCAAGATCTTTTTTTTCCCACGAGAAGTTGAAATTGACTCATTGATTGAACCTTTTTTTTTTTTGCACACGGCGGCGGAGGCCTAAAGCGAAAAGGTTTTATAAAACCAGCTGAAGACCTAGGACTGGGGCGACAGCGCGCGTGCCCACAGAGAGGGCTCTGAGTGCCGCCTCTGGCACTCGTGCCACAGGTTTGCCACCATTGTCCTAGCATAAAAGAAAAGCTCTAAATGAGGAACCCAGTGAGGTAAAGCATAACTATGTATGGGATCAGCATATGCAAATGTATATATAGAGCATAAATCATAGCATTTGCTAGCTTCTTAAGAGATTGACTCTTTAAAGGTTGCCTTTTTAAAGACTGACGATTGCTCTGGGTTTATAACTTGGCAATATTGCAACACATCTTCAATATTCTCACCTGGTTGGCTCCCAGCACCGACAACTCATCACTCTGGTTTCTCCTGCCACAAACATCTTCTCAGACTAAATGTACATTAGAATAAATCTAATTCCTAGCATTGGGTATTTTCCCATGCTTCTTACTCCCATGCTGCTGCTTCTAGGGGAATTTGCATGAAATTGTCAGAGGAGATGAAGAACAGTGGAGCTCTTCGATCTTTAATGGGTGAAAATATGGCATTTTAGCAGGGCTTCTTTTCTCACCCCTGTGACAAGCTGCACCTGTCAAATCTCCTTCAAAATGACTACAATCTACCCAGTATCTTTGCAGCTGCTCATTGTTGAAGGAGGCTGATGGAAAGATAAGTGCCAGATGTGGAGAGATTCAGGTTCTCACAAGATTATTTTAAAAAGGCTTAAGGATATGATTTTAAAGAGGATTCAATAAATGCATGGAAAGATGTCCTTAAGTTTTCCTTATTCAAATGCAGTGCATTTTGGAAGACCAGATGTTGGAGGCAAGTTATAGAGGAAGCTATCATCAACTTCTTAGAAATACTAGCCATTTGCTATTGGAAGAAAGAGTGCTGAATGAGAGGGAGCTTTCGGCATAATCCAGCAAGTTTGTATCCTGTAGTTGCCTACTACTTGACCATAAGGCTGAAAAAAAGCTATTAATCTTTACTTTTCTTCAGATTAAGTTCCAGGAAGGAACTTTTTTTTTCATTAGGGTAGAAAAACTTAGTTATTCTAGAATAATTTAAAGTTACATTTTATCCTGGCTAGTTAGTAAACTGTATTGTCCTCATTGGTGATTTTGATAAAAACATCCTGGTTGATGAATAGCCAATGACATGTATTTCTCACGTATGCTGCCCAGAGTTGCATAATCATCAGATGGGTAGCGTATAAATGCAATAATAGAATCATACTAAAATACCCTTATGGTTACTGATAATTATACTTGTTTGTTATAGTTCTCCATAATTGGGGAGGGGGGACAATAATATCAATACCTCATGGTTCTGTGCCACTCTACTTGGAAAAGGTTTTACACTATACAAAGGACTGGTGTAACATGATTTAAATCACAGGCTGCAGATGATTAAAGATAATCAACAAGCATTGAGATGGCAATGAAAACTGCACATAAGGAAAAGGCTTATGTGATTTGTGCAAGAATATTCCCAGAATCAACAGCCCATTTTAAGCTTTTCTTAATGCAGTTTTGGTTTCAGGAAAATGATCTAAGCATTTACTTGATTCTCAGGCCCTTCTGGCGAAATTTCCTTGGTGCTCTCTGAGCTTGGCTGTTTGTTTGCAGCTGATTCATTATTCAACTAGGTAATATCAGTGCAATGTTATGTGGGTTTGCTCCCTGTTTAGCACACACACACAAGCAAAAAGTCAAGCTGAGAAAGCACCAAGGATTCCACTGCTCAACCCCAAACTACATACAGTATATTTTTTTCTATTGGTTTTTCCCAGTGTAGGGCATCCCAAATAGAAGAGTTGGATTAAACTTCTACCGTGTCTTGATCATTGGTGTTATACATGCTGCCCTCCAAACAAGAAGAGAGGAGCAGGTTAAGGGAGGTTATCTTAGAGTTAAGCAAGCCTCTCAGATTTAAGCTGCCCACTATTTTGTCAAGTTGATAAATTCAGACCAAAGTGCCCTGATGCCTTTTTCAATCTCTCCCATTAGGACACAGGGACTCAGCGAAAGTCCAACAGCTGGAAGAAAAAGTGCAGAGCCTGACCAAGCAACTGCAAGACTTGCAGTCCACCATGCAGGCCAATAACGCCAAGCTGACCGAAGATGTGCGCCGGGCAATGGAGACCTCCCTGAACGGCAAGCAGCCAGCAGACGCCGCCGCACACCCGGAGATGAAGGAAACCCTCAATGAGATCCAGCGCCACTTGCAGCGCCTCGACAACCGCATCACCAGCCACGAGAACGGGCGAGGCACGGGCGGCAGCGGGTCAGACGTCCGGGGCGAGGTCATCCGGGAGGTGGAGCGGCGCTTGCAGGACTCCTGCGCCTCCTGCCAGACGGGCGTGGAGGGGCTGAAGCGGCAGCAAGCCGACGACCACGACCGAATGCGAGCTCTGGAGAAGTTGCTTTCCTCCCAGGACCAGCGGAACCGCGAAGCCGTGAGCGCCATCCAGCAGCACGTCAGCCGCCTGGCCGAGCAGCTGCCCAAGGCGTGCTGCCCTCAGAGGGAGAGTCGGGTGGGCGAGCTGGAGCGCCGCCTGGAAACCGTGTCCGATTCGGTAGCCGCGCTTAACGAGCACGTGGGAGGCCGGCCGCAGCCACAGGCGCCCTGGAGCGTGGACAGCCGAATGACCGAAATGGAGAGCCGCGTCAACACCACGCAGCGCAGCCTGGAGGAGCACTTGGTGGACTTGCAGGTCATGCTGCAGGGAGCGGACGATCGGCTCGGCCGGGCTGAGAGGCAGCTCGACTTCCTCTTCTCCCGTCTGAACGATTTCCAGAGCCACGTGGGCCGCGCTCTGGCCAATCTGTCGCGGGACATCGGCGGGCTGAAGGACAGTAGCCTGCAGCAGCAGGGGGCGCTGGAGCGGGTCCGCGTCTCGGTTCACGCCTGCACCCAGATCTGCACCGAACCGGGCAACCAGGACTCGCAGATCAGCAGTATCTTAAGCGACCTGGAACGGCGCGTGCTGGACAACGAGGGGCAACTGCGCTTGCTGGGCTCCAACCTCCACCAGCTCGACGTGTCGGGGAAATTGCGAAACTTGCAAGGCTTGGTGGGAGCAAATAGCGAAGCCCTTAGCAAGCTGGCCGGAGAAATTGGCGAGCTTGAGAACCAGATGGTGATTTCCATGAGTGCAGGGCCGCCAGATTTAATACGTTATTCCAATCGCACCAATAAGCGCCTGGATAAATTGGAGCAAGAGGTCGAAAGGTTGGAACACCATCCCTGCAGTCAGAGCTGCTCCCAGCTATGGGGAGAAATGAGACAGCTCAGGGAACAAGTGGAAACCTGCCAAACAGCCTGCCAACCAATGGGAAAAAAGCCAGCACTGGGTACAGAGCAAGGGGAGACCTCCAAACCTTTGGATGGCTTCAGCGTGACTGGCGGCAGCTCTAGCATCCACCTTCAGTCTTTGCAGGGAGAGCTCTCCGAGGTGATCTTGGGCTTCAGCTCACTCAATGAGACACTGGCTGGGCTGCAGGCCACGGTGGAAAAGCATGAAACCGACATCCATGAGCTGGGCACTACCAAGGATCGCATCATCACAGAGATCAACCGCGTACAGCAGGACGTGACGGAGCATGTGGGCGAGAGTGACGTGCGCTTCCAGGACCTGGGTCATGAGATCCATCGGTTTAGCGGTACTCTTCAAGTGGAGGCATCAGACTGTCGGAGGGCCTCTGGAGGTCTGGCAGAGCGACTGACTAAGCTGGAAGGCACTTGTGAACGACTGGACCATGTCTCAGGGAGCTTGCGCAAGATTAAGGAAGGGCTGGACAAGCACATATCGGCTTTGTGGGGCTGCATTCATGAAGTGAATGGGACTCTGCGCAGCCACGGAACCTTGTTAGAGAAGATCCACGGCAGCCAGTTGGGCACCATCCACCGCCACCTCAGTACTCTTAATGGCTCCCTTCATACTCTGAAGGGTCAGCTGCATGACCTCACCCTGCAGGACTTCACAGGTACTTTTATCAGCTCTGATGGGGAAAGATGGATTAGAAGCAGTAGGACTCAAGGTTGGCATAGTACAGGTAGTCCTCGACTTACGACCACAATTGAGTCCAACATTTCTTTTGTTAATTGAGACATTTGTTGTGAGTTTTGCCCCATTTTGCAACTTTTCTTGCCACAGTTGTTAAGTGAATCACTGCAGCTGTTACGTTAGTTACACAGCTGTTAAGTACATCTGGTTTCCCCATTGATTTTGCTTGTCAGAAGATCGCAAAAAGGGACCACATGATCCCGGAGACACTGCAAATGTCATAAATATGAGTCAGTTGCCAAGCCTCCGAATTTTGATCATGTGACTATGGGGACACTGGAATGGCCGTAAATGTGAAAACCGGTTATAAGTCACTTTTTTCAGTGTTGTTGTAACTTTGAACGGTCACTAAATGAACTGTTGTAAGTCAAGGAGTACCTGTATATCCTAGCCATCTTCCCCTTTCTTATGAGGTGCTATCTGGAATGACTGTCCTTTGTTCTAAATTTCAGGCCCTCCAGGTCTTCCAGGTCCCATGGGAAAACAGGGCCCCCCAGGCCCGATGGGAGCTCCTGGCAAGGATGGAAAGACTGGCATGGAGGGACCTCCAGGTGAGAAACCAGCCAAGTTCAATTACAGTTTGTGTTCTAGCCTGCGCCTTTAATATACAATGCTCCCAAGAAGATCAGCTTTACTGCTTAGCAAATGCTGTATCTCTTCAAACTCTCTGATTCCCTTTCATTCCATAGTCATCCTTGCCAAATATGTTAGTGATAAAGAGTTTCAGGAGCTTCCTCAATTAATGATTTTCAGACAGAAGAAAAACAGCTGCAACAGGTCTAGTTCTTGGATTAAACAGATGTTCTTACAAGGAAATTGAGATTGGAGATTTTTTTGTAGTGGATAATAAGGCTTAAAAAAACCAAGGAAGGTCTAGATTAGGATGATAATGGGAAGAATTGTACCAGAGTACTCTTGTTGGCATGCAGTATGCAAAAGTAGCAGTTGCCAAACCTTCAACTATGAACTTAACTAGACCTCACTAAATGCAATATTGGCACATCAAGACCATGTTTTCTCCTTATTTGATCTGCAGTGTTAACTATCAACACTGTAGGAAGTACAATCCAATAAGGGCAAGACACTATAGCTTATCCCACCTCATGGGCATACTTGTATTCATGTGATTCCTTTTCTTTGTTTTGCAGGTTTCCCTGGAAAACAAGGTAACAAAGATCAGATAATGAGATGTAGAAGAGAAGTAATTTCTATTCTATTCTTGGAGGAAACTGAAGGCTTAAACATAGGAAATTGGAACTGCTAAGTCCTGTGTTCTATCTAGTTTAGAACTGGTAGCAATAGTGCTTTGAAATCTCTAGCAGAAAAGGAGTTTAGTGCTAAACCTGGCTGATACCGGGATAGCTTACATGCTTTACTACTGCACTATGATAAATGGAAGTCTCCTTTTCAGCCAGTTTCTTTCGTCTCCCCTGTTTCTGTAATGTTATGGGGTGTGGGGATGGGGTAATGAAGGAGAGCGAGGAGAATATTTACAGGCTGTTGCTTGAATTATGGAAGCTAGGAGAGATCACAGTTTTGATTGCCGTGTTTCATGTAAATGGACCAATGTGATTAAATTGAAAAGCTGGTAGATTAGGATAGTGTAGGCAGAGAAGGAAAGCAAGTAGTAGAAGGTGATTCTTTCTCCTCCCAATTCTCTTGTAGGACCACCAGGTCCACCTGGAAGAGTGCTCAAAGTCTCCTTCTCAGCGGCTCTGACAACCTGGCATTTCAGTACTGGAACCATCATCTTTGACAAGGAGCTGGTGAACGATGGCAATTTCTATAACCCAAATACAGGTCAGTGAATATAAGATGCAAAGAATGTATGGAATGGGATGGTTGTTATATTAGCATGAAGGAGCCTGCAGCTGGGTCAGACCACTTGTTTAGCATCCTATTTCCCATGGAAGGGTAATAGCCAACCAGACATTTTAGGATGAACCAGAATGCTGCAATCTTTTTTCACTAAGGTGCCCTAGCCACTAAAATTCAGCATGCCCTCTCCACTACTGAAGTTGCATATTGCCATTTTGACCATGAGCCACTGATTACAATGGTTTCCCATGGGATTTTCTTCTTCAAGCTCTTTTTAGTGTCAGATCAGCCCCTAGCCACCTCTGAAATTAAGACTTTGTCTCCAACTCCTAATGTGTACTCTGTAAGCTAGGATTAAAGGCAAAATTTCTTTCTTTGCCCAATGATTCTTCTGTCCTTTTCTCCCTTCAGGAATTTTCACAGCTCCTGTTTCTGGCCGCTATCTGGTCAGCGCAATTTTGACTGGGCACAGAGGTGAGAAGGTTGAGGCGGTGCTCTCCCTTTCCAACAAGGCCATTGCCCGCAGCGACTCAGCTGGATATCAGCCTGAAGGACTGGAGAACAAACCGGTGGCTGAAAGCCAACCAAGTGCTGGTGCTTTGGCAGTCTTCACTCTCATTGTCCCAATGGAGTCTGATGAGACCCTTTGTGTGGACCTCGTGTCTGGCCAGCTAGCCCACTCTCCAGATGAGCCACTGACAGTTTTCAGTGCTGCCTTGCTTTATGAGGAAGATTTGGGGGTCCATATAGTTCCTCAATGGGGGTAGGGAGCAGCCCAAAGCAGCCCACAGCCCAGCAGGGAAAGGGATCCCAAGGAACCCCAACTTGCACCCTAATAACACCTCTGTTCTTCCTTTCTGGGCTGGTATCACCGAGCGATGGTAGAGATATAGTGATTAAGGTGTTGGATTCGGACTAGGGAAAAGCAGGGTCAAGTCTTCTCTTAGCCATGGAAGTTCACGGAGTGACTTTGGGCCATTTACTCTCTTTTAGGCCAGCCTACCTCACAGGGTTGCTGTTGTGGGGATAAAACAACAGGCATTCCCATGGAAACTGCCTTGAACCTTGGTGGAAAGGCAAGGTATAAATCTAATAAACCAATACATTGGCAGCTTTTGCCACCCCAGATTCCTGAGAACTTAAGTTGTTTCAAGCAAACTTTTTGCTGGCACTTCCTATTTCCCTCCTGCCCGCCCTAAGGCATGAACCATGGAGAGTTTCCGCCTTTCAAAGGCCCTGCAGGCTATGCTATAGGTGTATTAGTACTCCCTGCATTGTCTAGAAGAAAAAGGCAGAAAGTGCAGCTGCCTAGACCAAGAGAACATGTTGTCAATGACAGTGATGGCAAACCTATGACATGCATGTCAAAGCTGACACACCACAACATTTTGAGTAACTCTCCAGAGTTTATGCCAACGTTCAACAACTATTCTCAAAAGCACACCCCATTCTCCTGCAATTTTCAGAGGCTGTGGAGGCCAGGCAAGAATGAGGTGTGCTTTGGTACAGCTGCTGGGTCCTCCAGAAGTCAGGCAAGAGGGTCATGCTCTTACATAGCCTCCTAAGCCTCTGAAAATCATGCAAGAACAGATCGTGCTTTTGTGTGGTTTCTAGAGGCTGTGAAAGCCATGGAAGAGCATTCTCCAAAGCCTTATTTGACCTGAAGCAAAATCAGGTGGGCTGCAAGAACCAGTTAACAGAAGGAGAACATCCCCTAAAGGTAAGTGGCACATAGCAGATGCTGGGGAATGTTGGGCCATGGGGGCAATTCTGCCATAGCCTGAAGCTTTTGTGCCTTTATTAGCGGCAGTGGTGGTGCTAGGGATGAAGTTGAGGCCTGGGCTAATGTTCAGGGTGGCTTAGATGCGGTAGATAGAGAATTATTTCTCTTTTGTTTGGGGTGTGTGTTTGTGTGTGTGTGTGTGTGTGTGTGTGTGTGTGTGTGAGAGAGAGAGAGAGAGAGAGAGAGAGAGAGAGGTCAGCAGAGTTAAGTGTTTTCTGAAGTTTTGACATGTCGAGCCAAAAAGTTCGCCATCATTGGTTTAGGAATTAGCCCTTCCTTACTTGCTGTGGAATGGAGGGAAGAATCCTTTTTGTTATTTATCTGTGTCTGTCATTTCCTGGAAAAAATGCCCACTGCTCTTTTTTGCATCGCCAACTGACTCCCTGCTTTGCCCACATTTTCTCACAACCCGCATTGTCTCATCTAATCATGTCTGCTGCCAAGCTGCCAAAAACCAGGCCAATTTGCTATAGATTTAAGAGTCCTGGATTTCTAAGCCACAAAGCCACTAATTCCTACAATAAGCGAGGAAGAAAAGATATCTTTTGCAATCTTTTTGGCAGAGTTGTAAGCAGAGGAAGGTGGTGATGAATGGAAAGTAATTCCACCTCTCTCTGTTTCGTCCCTTATGTATATGCTGTATAATGGCTAAATTCAGCTAATGATATAATTATTGAATAAATTTTTTTTTTTAAAAAAAAGGATGCACCTTTCTTTTCATTTGTGTGGTGTGTGGCAAGTTCAATCATGTAAGAAAAGGGGAGGAAGATTACTGTTCTTTCTTCCCCTGTACTGGCATCTCCAGATAGCCTGGAGGGAGGTGTTAAGAGGGTGCTGAGTTTATAAAGTCTTTGCACTGCAGAAAGCAACATGATCTACCTCTGAATCCCCAAAGCCTTATCTGACTGTGCCCAAGGGAATGTGAGCAGTCTGGCAAGATTCTTGTAACACAGGGGACTAACACTAAAGCTGCTGCTTTGAAACTATTCACGAGTGGTTCTGGTTGCTTGCATTGACATCCCCTGATGCAACTGTCTCAGACAAGTAACCGACCAAATTAAGAAATACTTGACCTCCTAAAATGGGACTCCTTCTAAGGACCTCATAAGTGATCTCCTGTGGATAAGAGGGAAAGGCAGAATAAAATTTTAGAATAAGAGTAAGAGTACTCTAAGTAATTCAACCAACCTGCCTGGTTGTGTAGGGAAAGGAAGATGTTGGCTCTCATTAGTGGTAAACATGTTCAAGTACAAACATATGCATGGAATCTTTTCGTCCCATTTTGGGCATGGGCCAACAGGAGAAGATGCATGTTGTGTGAGTCCAATAGTCATTTAGAAGAAAGATTGATTAATGTTCTTAATCAAGGAAGATTCCAATTGACTAAGAACTCCAGATTGCCCAAGCAAACAGACTGTCCTCAGATGAAAAATCGCACTGTATATTACTTTCTTGTCAGCCCAACTGAAGCAAAGGGATAGGACTGTAGTTGAGCAAAGCGTGTATAACAATCATTACCATCAGACTGAGTCCTACAATTAGACAGATTTTGAATATAAATGACTCCCAAATGATTGGTTGCTACAGTATTCGATTTTTACTACTAATTTGACAGTCTGACTTTTAATCAGTCTGTGTGGTTTTAGGTACCATATGGGTGATGTTTATGAGACAGTGTCATTTGCTGTTCTACTTCAGCAAAAAAAATAAATAGATCTTGATACCAATTAGCATGAAGCAGGAATATTCCCAGAGAATGCGTTGTGGGGGAATCAGTGTGTGCAATTAGTATCATTAGGATTTTCCATAATTTGATAATTGAAATATCTGATTTGGCAGGTTGTCTTAATTTATCAGGATTCTGAAACTGCAGCTAAGAAATGAGCAGGTGAGTTCAAAAAGAGAAAGCAATACTGCTCTCTGCTACAAAAGATAGATATTCTCTCCACACTCATAGTATAGGTTACCCTATGAAGCCCAGATCTGAATTCTGCCTGGTTAATGTGACAATTGGATGTTAGAACTGTCAATAAAAATATAGAGGAGAAAAGGAAAGATTTTCAACCAGGAGTAAAAGTCATTTTGAAAAAAAAACATGAAAATCATCCCTACAACAGCGAAAGTACATGACAGTGCCTAATACAATATTCTGACATATTTTTTAAAAGCGTTGTGTCTACAACCATCCTTAAGTCTTCTTCATCCCCCATTTTTTTAAAAAAAAAAATACATTATTTTAAAACATGAATGGTAACAGTTGGGAGTTAGATAATCCTAGGAAAAGCAGAATGTAATGAAGAAAATAGTTCTCCCCATTCTCTGATAAAAATCCTGATTTGGCAATTGCATATGAAAAATATATTGACAGTACAAAAATGTTGGTCTGTAAATACACACAACTGTGCTTTTGTTCAAATATTCTGAGGATAGGGCTATTGGAATGATTGCTAAGAAGTTAAATTGGGGGGGGGGGATTACAGTAAAGAGACCAATGAAAGGCCTTTTTTTTTAGTAGCCATCTATCTCATCTCTCAGCAAATGCATCTTGAGGGAGACTTCTGAAGATTATATTAACATCTGGGCAAAGTGTGTGGAGGAAAAGTGTGGTCCCAGACTGATTAATGTTTTAAGGGGAATATTAACACTTTGAATCGAGTCTGGAAATGAACTTAAAATGTATCATGAGGCATAGACCTGACATAACACGATAATATCAGTCAGTTCCTGTTAACCATCTCGCTGTCTTATTTTAAATCTGTTGAAATTACTGGCATTTTCAAAGACAATTCACTGTACAACATACTGTTAAAATTCAAACAAAATATTACCCGTTTCTTTCAAAACTGTCTGGAATTGCATGTTAATTCAAGTATTTTCCCAGAAAGATCTATAATTCAGATCTTGTGTGTCCTAGATAGGCCTAATTACGCCATTTGTTCAAATGGCTGGCTTATTCCTTCTCATCAAGAAGGAATATATCATTCCCTGGACACAGCTGGGCATCACATACTGTATAAGTGAGCAATGATCAAACTCACAGATAATAAATAAGGTTTGTCCGAGCAACATTAAAATAAGCAACTTGGTATAAAAACCCATCCTGACTCTAGAACTTTATAAGAGCTTTATAAAAGCTATGATCTATTCATAATTCCTGTGGACCCTGCTCAAGCAACGCTTTTATGCTATATCCTGGATGGAAGGGAGGGACTGCCAATAATCTTTCCAGCCATCCTCACCACTCCCTGCAATGTCTTCCTGTCTGAAGCAGTGATGCTTCCAAACCAGACTGTAATGCAATATGACAGGATGCTCTCGATCGTCCCTCTGTAGAAAGTGGTAAGGACAGGGGAAGGAAGATGTCCTTTTCTCATTTGATGCAGAAAATACAGGTGCTGCTGTGCCCGCTTCACCAGTGTCTGGCTGTTGAGCGACCAAGCCAGCCTGTGCAGCTAACAAATAGTTAGCATAATATATCTGAAGTAGATCAATTTCAGCCTGCTCATTTGTGTCTCAAGTGAGAACTCTGGGTTGATTTATTCAATGATTCCTGTATTTGCTATATTGGCTGTCCACAGTAATCTCAGGAGTCTTCTCCAAAAACAAAAGTTCTAAAGCATAAATTATTCTTCCTATCTTGCTTCTTCAAAATCCAATTTTCCCTTCCATGGATTGTGACAGAGAATATCATGGCTTGCCTAATTCTGATCTCTGTAGGTATAAACTCATCACTCCATTTGAATATTTTTTTCAAGGCCATAATGACATCTATCAAATGCTAGACTGTGGTGTATTACTTCACTGCTTGTTCCTTTAGTGTGACGGATGATCCGGAGTGCCAAAAATAATGGATTGCAATCTTGTGGCTACACACAGTAGTTATTTTATATGTTTGTATTTATATGTTTTTGTTTTACATTATCTATGTTACTTTTATTTTCTTTTTCATTGTAAGTTACCCAGAGTCACATATTTGAGGTGGGTGGCTATACAAGTAAAATAAATAAATAGACAAGCTTTCTCCCTGGAGGCACTTGATCTTAAAAGGATCTTATCTCTGTTATTTAAGGAGCCCTTTTGATATAATTAAAGATCTACTGTTCCACCCAAACTTCCCCTTTGGTGAAATGCATAGACAAAGTTTTCTTTCTTGTTTATTTCCATCTATTTTAATGTATGAATCTTATGTTAATTGTTTTATTAGCATTTAGCAATAACATGATTGCTTTGATAGCATTTTTACATATGGCCTTAAACTGTTTCAAGATAGCAATATAAGTAGTTTGTTTAATGACTGTCCTGTTTAATGACCATTTGAAGTTACTATGGCTCTGAAAAAGAAACTTGATGATGGTCTTTACAATTACGACTATTTCAGAGTGCCCCTGAACACCTGACCGAGATTCAGGCAATTTGCAGCTGGCAGGGATTTATGAATCCTGCAGTGTCGCACAATCACATGGTTGTCATTCATGTGATCTTACCAGCCAGCTTCCAATAAGCAGAATCAATGGAGAAATTGTTAGTAAAATTGCAAATTGTGATCTTCTGATGTCTTGTTTAATGACTTTGAGTGATTTGCTTAACAACTGCAGTGGAAGTGTAATCATAAACCCGTTGTGGTTGTGTGATGTCTTAGTGATCAAGTGACAAAGGTGCTAGGTGTCGATCGAGGATTACCTGTATACAAATGTTTTAAATGAATAAATGAATGTTCTTGGGTAAAACTAAAATAAACAGATTGCATTAATTGTAGATTAAAAGCTATGACAGATGAAAAGCGTTTCTTCTTCAAAGTGCCTTTCAAATTTCACAGCATGTAATTGAGATTCTGTATTTTTTTTCTTCTTAGTCCAGATGAATCACTCAGAAAAGCAGTTCAGGATAACAGATCTAGCAGAAAGAAAAGAATCCCTCAGAGCCCTACAGAGACTCTTAGACATTTTAACATTTAATTTCACTTGCAGAGCGGAAAGGTCCAAAGTATTTAAACCTTAGGAGAAAATATCTAATCTTCACAAGAAGGTAGAAATTTCCAACTAGTTTCAGATTCTGCCCAATCAAGAAAATTAAGTCAAAGGCCCGTCTCATATGTACTGAGCCAATGAATTATTGGGATGGAAGAGAGTAGTTTGGTACCCAACCCACACAAGATAAAAGCACTCATTTGGCAGTTGAACAGACTAGAAACTGGTAGCAGACCTACACTATTTGAGTGGAAAGAGACACATTAATATACCAAAAGAATTGTAGGCCACAAAGGAATAGCTGACATTACTTATGTCAACTAGTTATCAGTCAGTGGAGAAAGATGTGTGAGCACCTATCCGCCATGGGGTTTAAGAAAGCATGTTAACTGCTTTTAATATTTCTGATGGGGTTATTGATGGGGAATTGTTGCTGATGGGGTGGTAAATGTCATTCCTGGTTTTGGTATGAAAGGAACTGTGCATAGCCTAATACAGTGATGGCGAACCTTTTAGAGACTGAGTGCCCAAACTGCAACCCAAAACCCACTTATTAATCTCTGGGTGCCAGGTGAGTGTGGCCCACTGGGTGGGTATGGCTGTGGTGGTCATGGCAGACTAGGTGGGTGTGGCCATGGTGGGCATGGTCACCTCGATGTTGTTTGTGGGGAGGGACGCCTGTGGGGGCCGGGCAGGTTTGGGGGAGATCCAGAGGATCTGGCAGGTGGGGCAGTG